CATAAGCGCATCAATAGAATGTGGTAGTGGTCTAAGTAGTTTGTTTCGTGCTTTTTGGAAGAAGGAGAAGAAAACCCCAACAGTCCCTATGTAATGTTCTAATGATTCAACTCAGGAATTCAAATCACTAGAGTATTGTTTCGGTCTAACCCTGTCTAAAGATTACACTTTTTAATATAGTAAGATGGAAAAGCGAGTGTGTAAATCTTGTTGTGCGACTAAGATGTTGAAGAGTTTGACGGTTTTAAGACTTGTAATCGGTGCCGTGAAGCGAAAAGAAAATGTTACAAAAAGAACCAGAAGGAATACAACCAAGCGAGAAGAGAAGAGAGAGCAAAAGGGAGCCAATTATGCGAAGAATGCGGACATAAAGCAAAAAACGAAAACTGGGATGCCCATTTCCATTATGCGTTACATCCGAACGCGGAACTAAATGTATTGATGAAAGGCTATTTAACAAAATTAGGCAGTTTAAGGAAACAAGGCAAACTAAACGATACAACACAATCAGAAGTTAAGGCAGAATACGAAAAGCAGAAAAGGGAAATACGCAAACGATTAAACGAACAATTCCCTAATAAATTTGTTGATGAAGAGGAACCCGAGAAACCTAAATCCGATCCTGACTAACCTAAATCCGAGCTTGATAAAGTATTCAATCACGTCCATCAGTTGCTAATGAATGATGAGTTTTTAGAAGACTAGTTTATGCTATTCGGTAAGCATAAGGATAGGATAGTTATTGAAATTCCTGTTGATAGGTCTTAAGAAAAGGAATTCTGAAGAAAAAACATTTAAAGAAATAACAACTATATATATATATATTAAGAGCAAAATGGGTTATACAGATTTAAATACATATAAAATACAAGCGAAGTATATCAATAAGATATATGAAATGAAAATAAATGAAATAGATTACTTAAATAAAATTCAGGAGTTATGTAAGTTGCTGCTTAAAGTTTATGAAAGTAAGTTTGACCAAGAAGATGTCTTGAATGCTAGACGCGATATATCTGTTTTAGAAGGTAAAATCTCAGAAGACAAAAAGTTAATAAACAAATGTTCGGATTTAATTGAACATATTGAAGTATTGTGTCAGAATGGGGGAATCAAAGACACTAAATATTTAGATGTGAAACCAAAAAATGCTGTTAAGTGGTTGAATAAAAGTATTCAGGACATTGAAGAAGAATACAACGAACTAGTCAAGCCTAAATACAAAAACCAATAATAATACTATTTTGTTGAACTATTATTATTATTATTATTGTTTCTTATTCCTACCGTATTCCTAAGCCTTATTCCTATTATAGATATTTTTTTAGGGGTGACGGTGAGCGAAGCTCACCCTCAACCCTACGGGGGTGACCATTTCTATTTTCGCGGGCTAGGGGTTGAGGGTGTTCTTCGGGAGTGCTTCAAGGCATGGGTTTATGTAGGGAGTTTTGGGTTGGGGATTGAGGGTTTCCAGGATGATTTTCAAAGATGGTTCATTGGGTAGGACATTGGGGGGAGTGCATGGTTAGAAAATAGAAATGGTCATCACTAACTGTCACGTGGGAGGTAAATGTTTCGTGTGTTCGGGTCTGCAAGAATCAGTATTATGGGTGACTATAGTTCTTACTGTGTTACAACCCCGCTTCTTAAGAAGCCTTAGACCCTGCAACCTGAAGACTTGACCTCATCCCGCCCACCTCGGACTCGAACATCCGAATCCTTATCTACGCCGGAATTCCCGAACCCAGAATCCGAGAGACGAAGCCGAAAAAGCGCCGAAAGGATGGGTCCAACGTTGATCCAGACTTTTGGGATGTCGCAGCTGCAGTTTGGAACGCTGACGACAGCTTTCGCCATTGCAAAGCTGCTCGGTGTAATATAGGGATCTGGACAGAGCGCCACTGTTCCCTGATTCCTTCCTGGTCTAGTTCTACCTACTAAGTGTATGCGAGCTTTTAAGCGCGGTACCAAGGCTTGCTTAGCACTTCGGGGGTGTATTGTTAGGGCTCGCCGTGGCTCGGTTTACACAAGGTGTAGGACCTGCAGTTCTGAGGATTTCGGGCTTTCAGCTTAGCCCTTCTTGGATTCAGACTTCTCAGTGTGATGTTTTTGCTTGCGACTTCTTCACTGAAGCAGTTCAGGGCTTCGGCCGTAAGAGGTCGGAAAGAAATATCTCGGCTTTGCGGCCTTGAGTTGGCTAAGTCTTCATGTTTTGTCCCTCGGTGTTGGCTAACTAGGATGTCTCATCCGATTTACTTTCGGCTTTTCCAGTGCAGACGTGGAGCCTCATGCGTTGAGTCTCTCGCCTACGCAAGCGACAACGAAGCGACTGGAGAAGTTGCCAGGGATTGAGCCGACACCAGAGCTGCCGCTCAGCAACTGTCATACGGAAACTTTCGGTAGCCATAGGCTTTTAGCAGAAGTGCGAGACGTTACTGGGCATCCTGATCCAAATTATGTCGACCGTGTTAGAAATCTTGCAAGCTGTGCACAGACTCAAACCCCACATTCAACAGACACCTTTTCTCCAAGCCCTGAACCTGCCATCCTCGCCAAAGGCTTTGTGGGAACATTCCGTCTTCAATCCTGTCAGAGGCACATCTTGTGCCGCTCATTGCGGGAATGCTTGCAATAAGGGAGTTGCACGATGCTCTCCGGGCTTTACGATCTGGAATCCATTCTAGAAGTGTACCTGTTCATCTTGAACAAATGCTCGCAGTGGATGCTTTCCCGGAAGGGTGAGCTTTTCTCCTCTACCAAGCAAGTTCGCCCACAGCATGCATGACCTTGCGGCAGACCTCGGCATGTATGTACGTATGTATGTCTGTATGAATGCATGCATGTATGTATGTACCGGATCCAACGAGTTCCGGTGAGCGCCAGTCGTCAAACTTGCCTTCAATCAAAGCCCGAAACTGACATCCCAAGGTTCATGTAAGCAGAGATTCCCCCCAACCCGAATTCGGGTATGAGTTTGCGCCACAGGCCTATGGGCGCAAGCCGCTGTTAGTAGGCGGCTTGCTGTCGATTGCCACAGGCGGATGAGGGACCAAAGACATGAAACTCACTGCGTGGTAGGGACGTTGCCTGTAAAGTCTATGTTTAGGTGCGTCCTGAAGCTCGCAGCGGAAGGGAGGGCAGCAGATTACCTATCCGAAGCTCTAGAGTCCATAGTGGCCCCAGACTCCGAACTGTGCAACCCGGCCGAGATGCGGGGGGTTTCGGGATGTGTGAAGGCTATAAGGCTCAAGGATGCTGCTTCTGAAAGTACTAGCGGCGCAACGAACACCTAGCATGACCTTATCCTGCTTGTTATCCTGGGTCTGTTGGCATTTGTCCTGCAGGGTTGGGCTTACTGGCTCAAGTCTGCTTCGAGGCTAACGTATTTGGAATTTCGGTTTATGGACGTTGTGGGTCTAACCTTGACAGTTCCAGACGGCAGCTTGTTGCCTCCGACCCCACACTCCAGCCAAGTAGTGGGAAGTTCTGAGGGGGAGTTCGGGATGTTGAAGGGTCGAGATTAAGGCAACCATCACAGCCATGCTGTCAGCGCAGCATTTGCCTCACTGAAAAGCTGCCTGTCGGCATGGACTTATTCAAGCTGCGAGACGATCTCAGTTTTCATTCAGGGACGTTGCCTACGGCCACCAACCCCGGCTCCACTCCTGTGCCCTTTCTTGGCCTGTCTTCATCGCTGCCTGTACCCAGCACGCCCTCCCTTCACAGCACCTTCGCACTTTTCGGCACACCACCCCTTGCCAGCCCCTCCTCCATTCACAGCTCCATCGCACTTTTTGGCACCAGCACCCTGCCTCCCAGCCCCTCCTCCGTTCTCGAGGACACCCACTCCAATCCCCTCCTCAGCCCCTCCTCCATTCCGGAAGGCGCCCCTTCCCAGCCCCTCCTCCGTTCCCGACACCACCCACTCCATTCCCCTCCTTCCCAGCCCCTCCTTCATTCCGGAAGGCGCCCTGCCTCCCAGCCCCTCCTCCGTTCCTGACAACACCCACTCCATTCCCCTTCCCAACCCCTCCTCCATTCCCGACTCCATTCCCCTCCTTCCCAGCCCCTCTTCCATCCCTATCAGGCGCAAGTGGAAACGAGGGCGATCTTGTCCGTCTTCTCCCAGCTGCGGGTCATCTACGTTGCAAACAGTCAAGGGCGTCGATGTCATACCCAAGGCGGCAAAGCGCCGGAGGTCTCGGGTCGTGTCTTCAAGTTCTGAGTCTTCCGGAAGGCAGAGGGCCGGCGAGCAAGTCAAGCATCGACTTGAGCAAAAGGCGTTGTCTCGGGAGCTCGCCACAACAAGAGCGAAGCTTGCAGATGCCGAGCTTGCGCTGCAAGATGAACGAGAGAATCGAAAGGCCGCGGCAATCGAGCTAAATCTTCAAATCGTCCCTTTGAAGCAACTGGCAGTTGCCGAACACTAGTTTGATTGCATACAAACTGGACCTTGAAGTGAGGTTGGGCTGCAATGTGACACTGCGACGCTGCGAGCAAAGCTGATCGGAGAGGAAAGCATGCGCAAGCACGCCGAAGCAGAGTCGGAGGCTGCGAAAGAGCGCTTGCAAGATGTGGCAGCTCGACTTTGCTGATCCGGGTCGCCAAGGCACGCAAAAATGCATGCGCAAGCACAAAGCCAGCAAACACACGAACATACATGCATGCATACAGCCTGACTCAAACACGAAGCTGTATGTAACGTTAGGGCCGTTAGGGGGGGTATGAGCACAAATCGTTGATGCTGGTTGTACACCATAAATACCGGTATAAGCTGAACATGCGTTGATTCGGAACACAATGTAAACAAAGAAGCACCATGACGCCACCATAAAACTAGTCATCGCCTATTCTTGCCAAAGTATGTCAAATACACAAGTTTTGCTGTAATAAAGCCTAAGCACTTGAGAGCAAGCTCTAGCTCGATTTGCAAGATTGTGCCCAGGATCCATGCAGGCACAGTTGATGGCTTCGTATGAGAAAGATACCGCCCATGAATTTTTGCATAGAACTAAAGACTGTAGACAAAAAGTCGTGCTGAGATCAGAGAGATGTACGTTGGCTGTGAGGTTGCGACAGACAAGGGTCGAAGTTCGGGGTTCTCATGAGGACTGTAGCGCGAGTTTACCTGGTCTGGAGGGATCTGGACTTGAGCACAACTGAGGAAGCAAGGCTGCAAGACACCGCTGCTGCGCTTGCCAAGGAAAGAGAGCAGAAAGAGATTGCTGAGAAGAAGTTTCTCGATGTTCAAGCATTCTGGTGGTCATGGTGCTTGTTGGCAATACGAGATGGACCGTCATTGGCACCCATTTTCAACTGAGGGCAACGATCAGATGCATCAGGCATACTTCGCGTTTATTGAAGATGAACAAGAGGGCCGCCGGGCAAATGTTGTTGCCGGGGGAGTTCCACGCATGGTCGATTTTCAGCAGATGCAACAGACGAATGCAGCCACGGGAAAGAGGCGAGCGATTCGAGTCGTTACCGGGGTGCCTTCAGAATGGGAGAGTGCCCCGGCCGCTTCGTTGACACAGCGTGATGGCCTGGAGATCCGTCTATGTCAGGGTCCAAGCTGCATCACTAGTTGAAGTCGTCAACCGCCTTCTGCGGTCGTCAGGATATGCCTGGGATGTGTCAACAGTATGCTCGCATATGAAGAAGGCCGCTGTGAAATCCATTCATCGGATCGAAAACTACCAGCTTTGGCAACGCTACCAAGCGAGGCTGCGTACCATGAGGGAAGACCGTGCCAAGTACAATGTGCACATGGACCCTGCATCTCTTGATCTTGATGGTCGTGAGGGTGTTATGACTGAGAGCCAGCCCTACTTGGACTGCGGAGAGCCGTTGGCAAGTGATGTGGACGAGAAAATCCTGTTACATGGCACTTCATGGGATATTGCTGATTCCATTGTCATGCATGGCTTCCACAACAGGACATGCATACGAGGGATTTACGGCGATGGTACCTACTTCGCAGGTGCTGCGTGCAAGAGCCATCAATATTCATGTGCATATCAGTGCGGGCGGGGCTCCACCTGCCGATGCGAGAGGACACTGATCATAGCCCGTGTTGCGCTCGGTGATGCTTACCGTGCATCTGAAACCCGGTATGGAGCGAGGAGAGCTCCCAACAGGATAGGCGCAAAAAGTACACATGGTTCGGTTGTGGTCAATCCTGGACCAGTGACTGGGCATAAGCAACCCATCCAAGTGCATCAGGAGTTTGTGATTTTTGATCGTGAGCAGGCGTATCCTGCCTTTGTCGTGCAATATGTGCCTTGACATATTTCAAGCAAGGTGCAGCATGGCGACCAAAAGGTGAATCGCGCTCGCTTGCCAGATGCCTGGGCGCATCGAGAGTCGACCGCCCTACTTCAAGTCCATCATTTAGTTGTATGCGACACCTAACCCCGGAGCGTTCCAACAAAAGGCACGAAGTAAATGTGTTTGGCAAGCGTCAATCTCGCTCCAGTCCTTGAGCATATATTGCAGGCGAACAGAACACCTACTCAATAAACATTATAACTCTAAGACTCGAAGCCATCTCACCATAGTTCGGCGCAGGTATCGCAGGGGTGGCCTTTGCCAGCTGCTATGAGCAGCTCATGGTGCTCAGGCGCAGTCTGTTCGTTCGGCCTCCAGAAGGTGCTTGTCAGTATCCCGTAGTTCCATCAAGGCTCACGGGTGTGTTTTATCTCGTTAACTTCTTCAGAATATCACAGGAGTGTAGGTGCTGAGCCCCTACAGTACAAAGTTTGAGCACGGACCCGCAATCGGCCTGTAATCGTGGAAGGCTGTAGCTTGGGATCAGGATTTGTGCTGAAAGCCTCATGTGCTTCTACATTCAAGACCTAAATCAGTCTGAAGCCAAGACCCAATGCTGAATTCCTTGCGATTTGCTTTGCGCCCCCAAGATTGCTTAGAACGAACCTGTTCTACCCTAGCCTGAACGAAAGCTCTCGGCACCAGGAACTTCTAACCGCAATAAATCCTCAAACCACAAAGCCACAAGCTCCTGAACACCTTTCAACCTCCCAAACCGAAAACCCCAAAGCCCCCACGGCCAGAACTCTAAAACCCACTAAGCCTTTACTCCCCAACAACCTGAATCCCACGAACCCCCCTCCACCCTCTTCCCGCAAAACAGCAGAAAACAAAAACAGCCCTAGAGCTCAAGAAAGAGCTTTGTCCAAATATGGGGGTTTCCGAAAATTAGGGGTACCTTATTTTGGGGCCCTTATAATAAGGAACCTATTATTT